AGAAATGGATCAATACGAAGAGGATATAGGATAGATGGGTTTGAGGGGGACTGACCATACGTAATTGTATACTTCATATTCACTAGCCTGTCATTACTCTGTAGGTGATAGCTCCTTTATTTGTCTTATGAAGATTCTCTACTAATCCAATTTTGTATTTACCTCATTCGTTACTATCACCCTGCAATGGAATGGATGCAACTGACGATCTTTCCTGAAATTTCATGCATCCAATAAATCTTGCAGTTTTGCAATCTACAAATTTTTAAGCTATGTTAAATAGACCATAAAATTTTGGAATGCCTGTGGATCCTGGTATATACTTTATAGACAACGTTAATAAAGTGCCCGATGTGGTATATTATAAATGCGCATTTAAAATTCGTCAAAAATATTCGAATTAGAAGTTTTTTAAAACCGAAAAACATTCCCTCTTTAAGTATAAATTTAGAAGATGACGTAATTTTCTACCAAACAAGAATAAGAGAGGCTGCGTTTTGCACTTTTTCTATAAAATACAGTTGAATTTACAAGAGCCTTGCAAAATGGCTTAGGTAATCATGTGTATAACTTATAGTTTTAGCAGATGATCAGAAAGAAACTTGTTTAAAAGCCGAAGTGCAGTATCTGGAATTTAGGCTGCACAATAATTACAAACCAAATCCTACAATTTGTTCTCAGGCCGAAAATACATTTCCGGGCCGATGTTTCATGAGATGGGGAATCCACTGTAGAATAAGGCCTTGAGTAAAAAATACATTAGGTTCACGAACGGATGAGCGCATAGAGCGAAGGCGTTAAATGCAGCGCACATCCACTATCAAATAAAACTTATTGATATGCAATTCGTTGCATTTGCTTTCAGCTAACCTAAGCGAACACGGTGGACATCACAAGCAGATGTGATCGCTAGAAGAAGTTTATTTGCCTGAAGGTTTGGATTCTGTACAGAAACCTTCATCAGAGGCGACCGTATAATAGTATGATAATGCGTAGGTTAGGTTGATATGTGCGCAGATTACAGCTAACGTAACATTATTAATAACTCGGAAGCGGACTGCCAAGCTATCACTACACCAATTACGACCCCCGGCGGTGGGTACGAGAGCTGAAAAATTATAAGCGCGTGCGGTCGCGTGGCCATTACAAACTATAAATACTGCTAACCCGTGTATCTATCGCCTTAATCTGTGCATGAGTTACCCTATTCTACGGTTACCTCTGATGGTTTCTCTACAGAATCTGAACCGTCAGACAAATAAACGTCTTGTTCCAGCGATTGCTCGTTCTACTTCTGATTTGTTTCCTGGAACTCACCTATATTAGCCTATCGATGGTGGACATCGTTTAACTGCCATTGAACTGCGCTCCAACAATTTTATACTTCTATTGGTTTCACGGTTGTCGATCTCGACTTAATTCTTAATGCATGAGCCATGGCATGCAGACGTTCACATAGCCCCATAAAATGGCTATCGGTAGTCGTAGTAAATGCATATAAGTTGTTACTATCAGTTTGTGTCAGGTACCCTAAAAAGTGTGTGTTACAACAAAAGAGGGAAAATAGGGTTGTCCAAATGACGTCAGGCTATGCCGACAAATGTTTGTGCCCTTATACCTACCCACCCCCAAACCGGTAGATAAGAAAGCCTCTAATATTAGCGCTGGCCTTGTTTCACAGGCAAATGCAAAAGGCATTCAGGTCAACTGGCTTGTCGGCCCGTATCTGATTGTGGAACATAGACGCGCAACTATGCAGGATAAAGCACATGTGAGAGTGCCTCGATCAAACGCAATTCTAACCTTGGACAAATTGGTAGGACTATATTTAAATAAATATGTGGTGTAAAATATGTTTTGTGGTATTTATAGAGTACCGTGAGGGCTGCATGCAAAATGCCTAAGTTTTTAAAAGTTTGATCATTTACGAAAACTGAGAAATAATAATGAAGAGCATTAAGCCTATTAAGTAGTTAAAAGAAGTATAAGAGGTATTAAGTGTTTGCTATGAAAAATAGATTTTCCCAATATTCCCCAGGGTTCCGGAGACGTAAAAAATAGCTATCAACCAAAAAAATTAATTCTTTTCTTAATTTGAATACAACTTAATCACTTTTTTAAATTAACTTTTCTTTAGTCAAAATATCTTACACATATAAACATTAATGGATAATTATTAAATTAATATCGTTCTTTACATTTTGGCATAATTTCGAGCGTTTTCATTTCCTAATCCATCAAAGATTCCGTTCGACGTTTACATCAAAATCATTAAAATACGATATACATCAAAAGCACTTACCGAAAAATGAGATTGGATATTAGTTCTTATTAAGATGGCCGTGTGGATCTTATTAAGCAATGCCTCAAAACCGCAAAAACACATTTTTGAGCATAAAGAACGTCGGCAACTCCGATATTGTTATTCTTAAGATTAATAAAAAAATACCTTCTATAATAGGGTACCTCTTATAAAAGCGTTTTGATCAGATATTCAGCTGACGAATTTCTGTGTATATTAACTTCGTCCAAGATACTGTTAAAAAGAAAATGGAGATGTTTAAAAATTTATTTTAATTTACTAGAAGATAAATGATTCAATTGGACTGGGAATGAAAGAATTCATTTTTCACTTATACCCGATTATTTCTCACCTCCAAGCTCAGTTCTAAGCTTGTGCATACAAAAATGTATAGCTATATCTGTAGTAAGATAGATTTATATTTGTTATTTTTTGTCTGTTTCGTTTTTAAATAACGCATAAGCGAAACGTATAGCTTACAAAAAATAAACTTCTACATGACTAACATTTAGTAAGGCCTGTTTAAAATTATCTTCACGGTAACATATATGGACACTTTGCTCATTCGCCATCTAGGCGATGCGGGAAAACAAAATGCGACCAAAACATTATTGTTACTGCTTTTAGTGGAAAAAAATCTCACGCAATAGTAAAACATAATTTTAAACCATAAATCGTTCCTTCGTTCTGAAGTTGGCTTCATTTACATGTGAAGAAATTCGGACAAAATTTTCCAGTTCTCGAGGGCATATTTTTTACATTTTTTGTACTTATTTTGGAATTCTCCTATAGAATAATGCATATTAATAAAAAATTTGGGAAATTCCTTCGATATGGGACGACTCCTAATTTCGCCACAATTATTGCCAATTATCCTGAATAAACTTGAGTAAAAGGGCGATTTTCCTAGCTAAAAAGTTTTCACAGCATCAAATCTACTCAGAGGATCAAGATAACGGGATCACATATATGCCTAACTACCAAGTTAATTTTCTTCGTGACTTTTCTATACATCACACGTCATACTGTTACTTTTACCATGCAAGCATATGAGGACCTAACAGGAAGCAGCTACGAAGGTGAGCCAATCGGAGAAGCAAAAGTCCTTTTCGTTTGATGTTCGAAAGTTAGGTTGGCCGAAATGACAACAGGAAAGGATGTTGTTTGCGTAAGGTTCGCGGCACATGTAAACTGCAGATACTGTACAGCAGCGGTTTTCGTATTCGCAGGAAACGAGCATGCTTAGTACAATTAACGTTTAGTTGTTCGCATCTGCTTTGGTAATTGCCAGTACTGTTGCGTGCCCAGCCATCGACGAGCAGATTAATCCCCTGATCTTGTCTGCAACCTCATTGTAGTGAGTGTTTTCACCCCAGTACTAGACGGTCAAGGATTGACTTTGCATGCAGTAAAGTAATCACCACGCCAAGTATAAGCATTTGCGCAGCAAACGGAAACTCTTACGGAGGATAGGTTTGTAGCTGCAGCCATTGTTCGTCCATTGCCCTTAGCAAGTGCTGTATTTGCTTATGTGTATGAGTACGAGTCTAATACTCTATGTGGATATAATTTTAATTTCGGCTTCTAGGAAAAGTCTCGGTTTTTGCGCAATATATTTTCGGAATTCAAGTAGAGTAATGGCGTGCCCACAATTTGTTATTATTGCGCTACATAGCTCTTGTGCACGAAAACCTTCGCCCAAAATACGAGACCTGTTTACATGCTGAATTAAATAGCATAGCATGCAACATTGACGAATTTGTCTTACTATATTTATTTTGTGGATTCTAATCTGGATAGCTCAATCAAAGATAGAACTGAAGAAGTTTTTATGGAATTGACAGAAATGATGAATAATTTGAGTTATACTGTGCTCAACCCTCCTAGTTCGGCCTTCAAAATGTGACAAAAACAATGCATCTTATTGAAATTGAAATGAGCGAAATTGAATTTTTGGTAAGGTTTTACCCACTGACTCAAAACTCGCAAATGGTAACGCGTAAGTTCAAAGAAAAGTACGAATAAAAGTAACTTCTCGAGTCGCAATAATTTACACAATCCCCAGTTTTCCTCTTCAGATTGAAGGACAATTAAACAAATAATTCAATTTTAAATAGTTTAGGCAGAGCCATTCAATAACTCATCCAAGTAAAATGGCAGTAGGCTGCAAATTTTAGATATTGATAACAACTTATTAGATTATCTCGCTTAGCGTGGAAGAACCTCTCTGCAGTTCCCTATGAACTTTCACAAATTTAAATATACTCAGTCTAGGGAAGAGTACAACCCTTATCCGCTTTTGTATACAGTTCTTCCACATAAAAGTAAGCGTTAACACCTCTGAAATTGCCGCACGAAGTATTTTATAGCAAACCCCTTTCTCATGATAAAAGTGAATGCGTTTGTTCCTTTGAACTGGACTTCGTATTGACGCTTTGATGAAAATTCGAAACGTCATTCACATCCTCATCTCGCGCTGAAATCCGTAGGAAGGTAACTGCGCATTTTTTTGAGAGGGCATGCATTTAAACAGGCTCCTACATTTCGTAGCTGGCTTTTCATCTATTTTTCGTCACCTGAACAATGAAAATCCCAGCTAAGTATTATCTTCTCTAACATTAAGCAAATGAAGACATACCAAGAAGCAGACAAGGAGCTGAGTCAATTGAGAAAGCAGAAGTTCTTTTCGCTTGCCCGAGCTGACAAAAGGTAAAGATGGTGTTTGCGCAAGGGCCGCAGTACACTAAGGTTGCAGGTACTGTACATACAACACTATAGCCGTCAACAGTAGAAGTTTTTGCATTCGACGCAAATATTGATCATGTCTGGTACAATTACTTTTTAGTTACTCGAATGTGCTCTGGTAATTTTCAGTTACCTTGTGTGCCTGGCCATCCACGAGAAGTTTAATCACCCGGCCTAACTAGTTTTTCCGCACACACATTAGCTCAGGTAAATGACTTCTGCCACTTTTGCCATTGCAAAGAGTATTTTCATCCCAGTACGTAGAACTTGTGGATTGACTTTGCATGCAATGAAGTAATCACCGCACTATGTATAATCATTTTTGAGGCCCATGTGAACTGTTATGGAGGATAGGTATGTAGCTGCAGCTCTTTTTCGTCCACCGGTCTTACCTATCGCTGAATTTGTTGATGAGTCCAGCATTCTCTGTGGAGGTAATTTTTATTCCAGCTTCTAAAAAGATTTAATTTTGGGCAATTATTCTTCGGAATTTGAATATGGTAATGGTGTGCGTGGTAAAACGTTTTCCCTGTGGAGAGGCATAGTAATTTGTCCTTATTGCACCACATATTTCTCGTACAGGAAAACTTTGGTTCAAAATACGAGACCTATTAGCATGCTGAATTCAATAGTATTAGGCAAAACCATCACCATTGATGGGATTCAACTCTGACGAACTTATCTAACTATATATTAAGTTTGTGGATTCTAATCTAGATCACTCAATCAACAACATGGCTTGAGAGGTTTTTATAGAATTGACAGACATGAGGAAGAACTCGAGCCATATTTTGCTCAGACCTGGTGGTTTGGTCTTCAAAATGTAGCAGAAAAAAATGGGAACTTTTGCATCTGATCAAAATCGAAATGAGCGAAATTGAAGGTTTTCCCGATTAACTCAAAAAGTGCGAATAAAATTAGCTCATCGGGTTACAATATTCTACGCAATCCCCTGTTTTCCACATCAAATTAAAGGCTCTTTAAACAGTAGTGGTTTTAAGTAGCTTAGGCAGATGCACCTCAATAACTTATCCAAGCGAAACGGCAGATCTGAATCACAGCTTATTATTTTATCACGCTTAAGTGAACGAGCTTTCGTGGACGAGCCTTTTAGCAGCTACCTGTTAACTTTCGCAAATTTAAATACGCGCAGTCTACTGTAAAGTACCATCCTTATCCACCTTTGAACGCGGTTCTCCTAAATTAAGGTAAACCTAAACGGCTGTGAATGTGTCGCAGGAAGTGTTTTATAGCAAACCCCTTTCCCATGGTAAAATTGAAGGATTTTGCTACTTTTCACTGGAATTTCTACTAAAGCTTTGATGTAAATCAGAAACCTCGTCTTCAGGTCGCGCTGAAATCCGTAGGAAAGTGGCTGCACATTTTTTCCAGGGAGCATGCATTCAAATAGGCTCGTCATTTTATAGCTGGCCTTTCACCTATTTGTGATCCACCTGAACAATGGAAATCCTACGTAAGTATTATCTACTCTAACTTAGGCATTCCCTAGTTACACAATAAAAAGCACGTTTTTATAGGCAATTCAGTTGGGCACGTCTAGCCCTGAAAATATTAATGGCAACATAAATGTTTATACCAAACCATGGGCACCATTCATGTTTAGGCGGCCGAAAAAATATTTGGCGTAATCATGATGAGCAAAGCTAATTGCGACACAATAAAGCACAATAGATAGTTTAAGCCCGCCTGAATTATGGCAAAAAGAGGCATTTGGAGGATAAGGGAAAACAGTTTTTATCTAAAAATTTATTTATTAAAAATGGGCATTCAGAACAGGCAACTTTCTTTTAAGCCAGAATGTTTTACAAACCTCCAACATTTTTTACGGTTGCGCGT